CGCAAAAGCTTAACTTAAAATGTTCGTGTGGGTTTGTAAGCGGTCTACACTGTCTATATTGACGCTAGCTTACACTGCGTACTTTTCGGTTGGAAAGCTAAAGCTAATCATTTCCGTAAAAAGTACGTGCTTCGTAAAATATATAAGACAGTGAAATATTTATATGATATGAACTTGATGAGCGTCTAAGAAAAGTGAGTTACTATATAGTAGTTTAGATCCGGGGGGCTGTCTCATACGCAGCATTTACAATTGTAAGCACCCTCAAATATGCAAGTGAAAACGTTTCTTCGCCGTGTAACTTACAAAGGTCATCCGTTATTATTGACGTATCCGAGCCAGCCATATGGAAGTTTTTTGGTGATGGGACACTTACCGCTTCCATCACTATACGTGCGTTTGTCTGTTTGTTATAAGTAAATTTAAGTTAGTTATATAATGCAGAACAGCAATTGGTCTCATTAGCGGAGCGACACGATCCAAATAACCTAAGTTTAAGCCAGTGAAATAAGAATATTGGAACTTCTGATTGACATATTAATAATAAGTAATCACACTATGTACTGTCGACTGCTCTATGGTGTGATCAATTTCGTTCAATGAATCTAAATACAATCAATGCTCAATATTGGCTAATATTTCGTGGTAATAATTTATTTTTCTATTTTTTTGGCAGTTATCAATCGAACCTGCTGGAACCGGAATAAATGCTAAGCGGTTCATCTAATGGAAGCCAGGCTCTTGTTGTTCATTATAATCACTAGTGCAATAACGAACTAAGACTAAAAAAAAAACAGCGTAAATAAAACCGAAATTTTAATCCAAGTTGTAAATATGCGGTTCTTTCATAATAACTATAGAATTTGCAGTTGAAGCGTGCAAGATTTAGCCATGGCTTAAATCCGGTCAAGAGTTTCCTTAGGCTTGAAGGCCAGTTGTAGAAGCTGATCGGGCGTCTGCTTTTGGACGAGCTAATTAACAATAATTTTTCACTCCATTTCGGGCACCGGGATGCCGCTGTGCATATACTCATCACAGATAAGCTCGATAGTTTTACCAATTTGGAAATAATTCTGAAAAGTAAAAACACATGGTAATAATGGCAGTTATGTAATCTAAGCATAGGCTAAAGACCTACCTTATTTCGTATCAATTAAAACCGCAGAGGTACTACCGTTGAGCGCTATGTCTACATACATATATATATATATAAAATAAAAGTCCCTCATTCGGTTCGCTCTAAACGTTTATATTTATCATCTATCATCACAAGGGATCACGTTAAAAATACATTTTTCTCAGTTGTTTTGGACAACGGCCGGATGTGCATTGAACCAAACAGAGCAAAGTCCTAATGAATGCTTGCAGAAGCATTGGTCGTCGGGTGACTGCATTATTGTTTTGTCTGCGGTGAATAGATTTTGTTTATGATCAAAAGCATGACTATTGTTTTCGACAATCGGCCGTGTCCCTGTGAAGAAGTGTGTTGCCACCCATTCTTTGTTACGTATTATAGTCAACTTCAATCTAGAATTAACAATGCTTAAAGAAGGCTAAGCCTATCTACCAAATCAACCGGATGTTTGGTAATGGTTATCCATCGTTCTTCATTTTTTGGCAATAATTATATTTTTGCTCTTATTTCTGTTTCCGTGCTTTTGCCCACGCAAGCAAGGTTTCTCACAAATCTATTGAGAATATTGTCTTTCTGCCTATCTATATGCGTATCCGTTGACAACCATTTATATACGAGCAGTTTCCATATATTGTTCGATTTTTCAAATTTTGCTGTTTTGCATACAGCATATGTGGCGTTGTTGTTGTTGCATTACCAAAATAGATGTACTTTTAGGACAGGGTATATGAACTTCTATGTTCAACTATGCTTATATGTCCCGCATATAAATAGAAACCAAGAAGTCAACCAAGCTATATAACATCTTATAGATTTTAATATAGGTATCAGGTAATTATTAGCGTAAATCTACGGTTTCATTTTTTTTCATCGGTTATTTTTTCGTCCATATTTTTGAATTGGTTTATAACATTTATTAATTATTGCTATTGTTAAGCGCGTTATCTTGGTCCAGGGTTGTCTTTATTATGATATTAATTGCGTCTACCGTTCCAAGGCTGCCCGCATTTCAACAACACGTGCCCCAGTTATTTTTTTCTCTTTGCCAGGTTGAAGTTCTGACGCTTTGTTCATGCATTCAACCCGCTCGAAATAGCAACGAACAGGATGTCTATGACGGCACAATTACTCGCTTCGTCCATGGCTAAGGCATGTAGACTAGCCGATCGTCTGTTTTTTGTAGGGGACGACATTTAGCAGATATATGTGTACTGTTCAAATAACACAAGGTTATTTACTGTTCGTAATAATGCTATACTGTGCAATAATATATCATATATGTTAGCCTCAGCAGGCTCTCGCTGACGGCGCTGTGCCGCTGGTTGAGGGTCCTGTTTCGGCCTGAATGAGCAACTCGCTGCTTCTCAAAGCAGCAGCAACAGCGCCACGAAATTGTTGATGCTGCTGACCCTGATCACCTCTATGCAATTGCAGATGGTTGCTAAGAGTATAACTACAATTGTTCTGGTTGCTGTCGCTGTCAAGTCCCGCCGTCGTGTGATGGTGACTTCCGACTGACTGAATTGCCGCTGCTGCTGCTACTGTCTGCTGTGGCAATGGGTGTATGGTAGCTCCCAGAGCCGCTGACGCGTCTTCCTGGAAGAGGGCATCTACATCGACATAATGGTGGTGCTGATGTCGGTGCTGACCACCGTCGCTTGATAGAGAGGCGCTATTCTGCTGGTCCATGAGGTTGGGCACAATATCGAAATAAGCCGGCGGGGGCTCGGGACAGGCCATATGGTAAGGAGGTGGTGGTGGAGGCGGTAACCAGCCAGCTACGCCCACTCCTCCAGAGCAGTTCGGTCCGTGATGGGTACGCGCGCCACTGTGTACGCCGGCATGATGACTACGGCCGTGGCTGTGGTGACCGTCCGACGCGTCTGGATCTTCCTCGGAAAATTGGGGCGGTGGTCCCCGCTGGTGGTCGTGCTGATATCTGTATTCTGCAGAAAAAAAAACAGAGAAAACATCAAGCATTTTAGGCGTTAGTTAGTAAGTCGCTTGTATAGTATATAGGTAGTTATTTGGTGACGAACTAACTTTCATTTGATGCTAATATTCAACGGCAAAATTCTTTCTAAAAAGGATACACTAAAATGTAGTCTAGTTGGATTTATGCTGCACCTGTATGCACGCCTACAACGATAGTTTTCGGCGCAATGTATAGTATAGTTAACTAGTCAGTTAAGCTCTTATTAAGTGCTGGCATCGGGGCAGTCAAGACGAACCTGAATTGGAGTGCTTTGGTGTTCCCTGGGGAGATGTGGGGTATGGTGGATAAGGACAAGACGAAGTGTAGTGTGACGATGTGTGCATAACGGCGTCCTCATCATCAGCCAATATTCCCTCGCCGTCGTGAAGGTGCGTCCCCTTTCGTACGACGGCCAGCGTTCCGCTAAACGCGATCAACGCTAAAAAAAAGCCAGAGTAGCGCCTGAAAAATGGTGAAACGCATTACGCGTTTATACATGTATATATGTCTTGAAAAATATTTAATAGTAATTACTCTAATGGAAGAGATTCATTTAGCACATCGTCTTTAACAGTGAACCTACTGGCACTACGCCTACTCAAAATGACGGAATAAAACGGACAAAAGTTGCTGCTATCATAATGGCTTTTAATGACGTTTCGGTGTCGATGTGGTAACGTTTTAACATGCGAACTTCAATATGTCGTCAGATGACGAACAAAAGAAGATTAACAAAACACATACTACTTTTGGCGTATGGAGAAGCACGCGCTCCGCTTAGTCTAGCGTTAACTTAGGCTGCTCCCATCATCACCCCTGTTCAGTGGCAATTGTACGATCCTAGCCATGGCAACAGAAAAACTATTGCCGTCTATTTAACGGTAGAAAGTTAATTATTAAACTGGCCTGTTCCTTGCAAAATCATGCATAAAAACAACATTCCCGTTCACACATCAACCCCTAGTAGATAAAAGCTACGTCTTCCTACGTATAGTTCGACAGCGTCGCGTATTCTGATGAACATAACGTAGTAGTTTTCTACGACTAATAGATTTCCCGATTGGTCAGATACGGCGATAGCTGCGCCTGCTTACCTGTCAGTGTCCATCCACATGGCGAGCGCACCGAGTCCCATGAGAAATAGAAGGAGTAGGCATAGAAATAGACGTCGCAGTACTAGCAAAATGAGATTGTATTCGGACGGCTCAATTAAAACGAAACTTCGGCCTGTTCCTAGGCCGGGTGAGTTTTCGTTGGAATCATCCGTTGTCATTGTGTATCTGCAATCTATGTGAGTTGAGGTAGCGTCACTTCACACTTAAGTCGATACTGGGGCTCACCGGTTTGATTCGTTACGGCAGTTGCCTGTTTAGCGTTATTGCAGAAGCCAGATGGCCAAACTCTGTGCACGTTCAGCCAATTGCCTGAAGTATTATAACGAATTATTTATTAATCGTTAACTTTTTTTTAGTAAACTTTTGCATATTATTTTTCCTATTTTTTGACACATAATAACACAATAAAATGAACTTTCGACACACAAATATGGTGTCTATATATGTTGACTACATGTATGTTAGATGACATAACAGAATTAGAAGGAAAAAACTTCTCATGGACTCCCAAGCCATCACATAAAACAACTCTTTTTTAGACCGCATGGAATATATAGTAATTTCATCTAATAAGAAATTCTTCAAAAGCAGACAACTTGATAAAAAAAAATCCGTTTTCATATATACAGTAATTTATTTATTATTGCAAAATTAAGGTTCAGCATGATATAGATAATTGTACATATTCGGTTGTAGGACCGGCGCTTGCTGGGTCGGGCTCCACTTTGAGACGGACTGGATTTAAATTACCGGTTGCATTTAACTTCCTGCATTCAAGTGAAAACGTAGCGGCATGAGACTGTTTTCGTGCGAAAAAAATAATATTTCTATTTAGTCTGGATCCAAAAACCGTTTTCTAAGAGTTTTGCGTTCTGGCATCAATGACAGCTTACACAACAGGGAGAAGTACCCTATTCTTGCTATTTTGCAAGTCGTTTAGAGGTTATATCAAAAGGTCGTTTTGCGATTTCCGACAGGGTTGTACGTACTTATATTATTATCTGTGGTGGCCGTCGAATCAACTGACAGGAAATCGAGCTGAAGTTTTCGCTCGATTTGCTCGAAGCTTTGCAAAATGCCCAGGATACGTGCCTTTCTATATGAAGCTCCTGTACGCCAGTACTACTACTAAAAGAGTCCGCGAGCTTTTTCTCCCCTCGAAGCGCTTGTAAATCGCTTGCGGACAGGTAACGTAATGTCTCTACAAGTTGTCCTATTTCTATGTGAATTTCCATTAAAGATTATGCAGTAAATCCGTCGCACCTTTCATTCATCGTTTATCGGTTATCAACCCATGTTAATGATAATACTAGTAATAAGAAATTCTACTCGTTTTACTATCTCTCGGTAAGAAAAGGATACATGAAGAAATCTCTTTAAATGGATCACTTTTGCGCCAATCATTTAACAATATCGAAGATGAAGAGACCGATTACATACGTACCAATCGATTGTCGTCAACAAAGAACAACGCAATGTTTACCGACGTTTTGACTTTATAAATTCGTTTATTCATCACTCAGTATTGTTTTCATACGATTTTCATCAGTTACGTAATCGTCTTGTTTCCAGGCGTACAAAATCACTAGTGCTGTTGTCGCTATTACAAATGTACAGGGTGACGTTGTTTGGTATCGTTTTGTATAGTTGGACGAGCCTAAAACGCTCCGTCACCTATTACCGCTAGAGCGTGACCGAGTTTATTCTGTCATTCGGCTACGTTGATTGTGAGCGCTCTGTTGCCAACAATGTAAGTTTTGTGTCAGGATGACGCTTTATATGGGAAGCAGTATCGACGTGCTACGTTGGCTACGGGGTTTCTGTATTGCACGCTTAGGCACACGCAGTTATTGGGAGACATACGCACATCAGAATTATTTTCATTGAGCTCTCCGATGTACACACATTTACCTATATATATATATAGCACACAAGTAACAACAATGTCCACCATATTCTATTAGACGTTTAAACCCTGTGCAGGTGCTATTGGCCTTTTTGTCTCTCAACAGATCGTATGCTGATAAAGCTGCATCGATCGCCTAATGAACCCGAATCGTATTGGTATTGGTTTCTCGGTCCAGCGACATATGTCGACGAATCAACGAGCGTCGCGAACATTGTCAGATTAGTTTACAGAGCAGGATGACGGTGATTTACTTAAAAATAACGTTGTCGATCCTTCCTAAATCATCTAATACAGATTCAGCTAATTCGGTATCGGTTTTTGAGTTTCACTTGACTTTTTTGCTGGTCGTTTCAGGGAGTAAGCGATAGCAGCTTCCGCTAGTTTCTGAAAATAGCATTTACACCCAGTCCTCTTGCTGCTGCTGCTGCTGCTGCTATTACTAGCTTCGACGACGTTAGTTTCTACATACGCCATACATTCATTATCTGTCTATTTACTGAAACGGAAGAACTCGGCGCGCCTCGTGTAGTCATTAAAGTACTCGTTTTCTCACTCGTGCTTCTTTCACGTTCTTTTTGGATGCGCGCCAGTCTGATTCAATCACATCTGATCACATCAGTAAAATTTGCTTCGACGTTGGAAGCTTTCTTTAAGCTGCGTCAATTTATTTTGTCATATTAGCCTCATGATCAGGTCCCTACATGCATATTTCAGTGAAGGTGTTACTATCTTCCTTTCTAAACTCACGCAGTCTCTCACTTTCATTCAGTGTCTCTCTGCTGATGTTTCGCGAACTTTCAATTCTTCTCTGTCTAGTTTAGTTACAGGTTTGAGTTTTTTTTCTTACAAGGTGAAGCGTTCATTACCATGTGCGGCTTGTCGTAATGTGTGGGCAGTACATGTTATGAATCAACATCACTGCATTACTATCTCAAGGTTTAAGGTAGGTTCTGCCTGGTCTAACGGTGCTGGCCATTTGGGCTAATACGAATAGGGCTCGCAGGGTGCGGCAAGACTGCGAGGCAAGTCAAGCGCGTTCGAATGATTCACACTTTTCCGCTGGTCATTTTAGCGTCTGGCCATGTCTTTAGTTTGCTTTTAGCACGTCGAACCATCACTGCAACTACCGTTAGATAAGAACCGTCGCAGAATCGCTGACAACGATCGATGACAAATTGGGGCGGTATGACTATTATTCAAACTCGTAAGCCAGCACAAACCATTCTACCATAGTACATTCTCGTTGAGAATAGTTATTTTGCGTATGGTGCGCCCCATTGATGCGATCCTTTGTATGCTCTTTTTTGGGGGGTTTGTGAATCCCCAATGCGTGGACGTATCTGTCACGTGACTCTACATGTGAATACGAACTTCCGTTGACTCTGCCGGGTGTCAGGTGGCTGGAGCCAAATGTGGCGGAATCCCATTGACGCTGGCAAGGCTGTTCGCGATGGTAGTATTGGACGGAATCGCCGGCCCCGCCTGGTAGTACATGCCTGCCATTGAGCCGACGGACAATTCGGGACAGCCGCACGTCGACGCGGCAGAAGAGCTGCGTTGGGGACAACCCGCCGCGGCATGGGGACGCGGATGCTGTGGCGCCGCATTTGGTAGACCAGTTGTATTGATCGGATGGTTTACAGTGACACTAGGCCTTTGCAGTGAGCCAGTGTGCGGATAGTAGAACGCAGTTCGCGTCTGTTGGCACATTGCTCGTCCCGTCGTGCCGTACACGACCCCGTGATACTCGTCCATGGCGTACTGCCGCCGCCAGTGATTTTGATAGCGACGTCCGCCATGATATGTGCGATAGTTGGCGTAGTTAGGCGCATGCACCGCGGGTATGTCCGACGTGCACTCCTCGGTCGACGTATCGCTGCCGTCAAGGAATGATCTGATCCGATTGTATCGGCCCCAGTCAGCGGGCCGAAGCGTTACCGAACGGCTGCTGTGGTCCACAGGCAGGGCGATTTGATTAGAGAAGACCTGCGAGGCAGCAAATGTATGTATCGGCTGCTGTTGGCGGTGCATATTGTGATTGTGCTGAAGCGGTAGGGTGCCGTATAAGGGGTAGTTCCCTGTGACAGGAAACGCCTGGTTCTGTTGGGGCGGCTGGGCCTGTTGCTGCGCAAGGTAGTCTGCCGATGACGAGACGCCCTTGGGCTGAGGGCGTTGAAGGGTTCCGTTTCTCGAATCGTCTGTATCACTACAACTGTCTAAAATTGATCGTGCCCTAGTACGCCATTCGTTCGTAGTTGACGGTGAATTTTGACTTGGCTGCGGAGCAGTGGGTCGCTGGTGGACATAATAACGGTCCGAGCAATAATAGCTCACTCGAGGAGTCGTGTTGTACCCAGACGTACCAGGTTGATTTCCACCAAATAATTCCGGCCTTCGTCTTGTAGAGGGTGGTCTTTCCCACTCGGTTGCTTCTTCGTACGATGGTGGAAACAAACCCTCGATGCTAATACCTTGTGCACCTAACCCGCTCTCAGAAGACCAAACGGTCGTAGTTGCCGTACCATTCTGTATCTGTTTTTGAACGACGAGAGCACTGGACATTTCCTGTTCTTCGTAGGGCGGAGGCGGACAGTTTGGTATGGACGGAGCGCGTGACCTGTCGAGCGATCCTCCAGGGAAGACGAACACGGTCTTGGCCAGTTGCTTTCCTCTGGAGTTGTTTGATGAAGCGCTGCTCCTGCGAGTCAAAGCGCCGGGCTGGTCTCTCTGGCTGTTACGTAGCTGGCTCTCCTCGTATGTGGGAGGCTGACCCCGAACGCGAGAATAGAGCAGGAGAGTCTCCGTCCCGGGCGGGCCTGTTCCGTTTCCAATTAATAATGTGGGATTTACTGCTGAACCATTACTGCCGCGGTCGGACCGCGACGCGAACTGTGCGTACACCGCTGTCATTTGGATGGTCATGCGGTCGGCGTCTCGCGTCTGGACCTTGACCGGTGCCAACACCGGAAGTAGGATGACGATGACGACAAAGAAGCCAATTGATGCGACGATGACCGAATCGAGCACGAGACTCGGTCTTGGAAGCAACGGGGTATGGCTTGCGGCGGCAGCATCGGCAGCCACCCCACCGGAAACTAGGATGAAGAAAGTTAACGCTAACGCCAATAGCAGTGAACATCCAAAGCGACAGCATTCGCACAGGCGTGTATTTGACCCGGTACAGGCAAACACAAAGATGCCGAACAACACCCCCGACGCAATCATATACAGGGACACGCCGAAAGCTATGTACGGCGTCGCCTGTAGAACAGTATAGCTGGCCACAACTAAGCTGACGTAGAAAATGATGAAAGCGCATCGCGTGACGCTCTTGCCTTGTTTATCCCAGAAGGCACGCCATTGTGATCGTCGCAGCGCCTGCACATCCATTGCAAAAATTAGTTTCTGGAAAACCGTGAGGCGCTGAGTGTTACGCTGCGCTTGTGAATTGAGAATTAAGTAGCCGCAGCTTCCAAGCTAGCTATTATTAGGCAAGCTTAGTATACGTATCAGTATGAAAACCCCGCATTTGGTAGTCACGCGAACCAGGCAGCGATTCGCTGTTTCTGAGGTTGACAAAGTCCCGTGATAGTTAGGTAGTTTTTGTTTGACGAACTGTTTAGCTGTTCAGAACTGTTTCGGGAGTTTCAAAGCCAAACTGATGTCCGGACTGATGACTATTCCAGTCCCGGTGACCGAGTGCTCTAATCACAACTGGGGCTGGGGCTCGCCTAAGGGGAGTGGGTGCTTAGATGGGTGAATATATCTGCCAGCCTTGCCTGCTATGCCACACACAATGCATACACGCCTGCAAGAAGAAGAAGAACAACAACAAAGAACATTGTAGTTCAATTGCGTGGAGATTGCGAAACAACTAAACCAGGGAGAACATGAGAAAAGACTAAACGGGCAAGTGACAGGTAGAGGGAGAATGAAATCGTAGTAATTGACTGAGGAGAAAGTTAAATGCAGAAAAAAATCATTGTTTTTCTTAGCCTGATAGACTCATGTGGGACAAAAATGATCCAATTCGATGATTCGATCTCTGTGTCCCAACTTCAAAGGGAAAAACAGGGATCAAACACGTCCCACTGCCGGGCAACGTAGTAAGAGCGTAAATAAGTTGAACGAAAAGGCTTACTGCGGTGACAGTATCAAGGTAAAAAAAAAACCGCTTTTTTTTACGATGTTCACGCCAACCTCCGACGGTTGGTAACGACAGGTAACAGAAGCAGTGGTTGTGTTAAAGTGGCTTCATTCAGCTGGCTGGCGATTGGCAGTCATATCCACTCTATCGTTCCAGATATACCTACGGATTTGATACCTATGATATATGCACACATATCTGTAAAGAACGAGTATCGTCTATTACGCTCACATCCTGAAGTGGTACATCACATTATCATATTTCTTCCTATATACTACCAATGCTAAGACTATGCACTCTATTGGCAACGCGTCTAGCCAGCTGCACTGGTAGACTAAGACCAATGATGGCTATGGGCGTGTGGGCGTTAAAAACTACGTTAAGTCGCTATGTCAAAAAATTACCGAGATATCATTGATATTGTAGCCTATTCCTACGCCTAGTAGCTCCGACGGTTGCTTGTTATCAGTAGTCATACCTGATTGAATCTTTGACGGCTATGTGCATAGGCAAAAGTACGTTAATTGTTAATGGCATAACTGTCTGCACTATTTTATTATAGAGGCCGAGTAAAAACGAAGACCCAAAGCTTCGACATCGCCAATTGTAACACACTGTATGCGGTCAATCTGTGTCGTTACGGACACTTTAGTCCTAGCAAGCGCTTTATGTCACTGCCGATATTCAGATACACGTCAGATGTCCACACTCACGGGTCGCGTACGCGCGTGTGACCGTTGATGGGTTCGAAAACGATGTACACCAATAAATACCGGCGCGTAGGTACGTTAACGAAGTGATCACAAGGCTGCCTTTTTCTGCTGTGTCCTGTTTATCGCGGCTACGATCTAGATCATGTTGGGGTCCGTCGTACTGACGGATGGGTAGCAGGCTACATTTTTCCATTATCCTCTAGCAGAACATTGCAACTGTAATTAGTTGGTAGCTGCCTTACACTGGTGTGTATACCTGACGCCTCACTTCACTTAGATCCCAGACTAATGAGGGAAGGGGGTGGTGACTTGCATCACTTTGTTTCGCGCTATCCGTAAAAAGCCAAAACCTGCATTCGATTATACAGTGTGTGTTTTAAGCTTCTCACACATCGTTCACGACACGCTAGTTTCACTGTCGAAACACCGTATTGTATTAGGTCGCACCAAAACTACCAAGCAACGTTTCTGTAAACACTCACCTGCTGTATTCCTGTGGTACAAGTAGTAGTGGAAAAGGCCAAGCGCAGTCCTGTTCCGATCTCCTACGGCTACTTCCACCGTCAGCGTCTTTTCCGTTGCACGTTGTTTTATTGCGTTTCAGCTTTCTTCTTTTCCTTCAGCGTCCGATTATGCTGTTCCAAGCTACAGCGATGGTGGGCTTAGCCTTCCACGTCACGGGAAGAAATCCGTCGTCGTCGCGGCGGCGTCATCCCGACGCGCGGGCCTCGCACTAACGCGCAGAGTCCCGACAACGTCGACTATGACGTATAAAACCTAAGTCAACGGGCCAGCTGTAACACTGGTGCTAGCCGTAACGAGCGAGTCGTAGCAGAAAATAGAACTACTACTGCTGTGGGCCTGTGTCCCGTATGTCATTAGTCTTGTCTCTTCCCCACCACCCCTGAGATTGGTGGACTGCAAACTGCAACAGCGCTCCGGAGATGTTGCCACTGCGCGGCTGCAGATATCCTTCTCCCAGGCATACATACACACGGACACTTCTTTCTGCCTCTTCTATGAACGCGATTGTAGCGTGAGGTAGTCAACACAGGACGACGGGAGCGACGCTAATGGCAACCGCTTTGAATGACGAAAGGAGTTGGATCGGGGCGCGAGGGAGAGTCCTGGTCCCATACCGTTGCTTCAGCGGCCGCTATATGACCCTGCTGCCACCACAGACACAGATCACAGCAGACAGGCACCGCCAACAAGCAGGCAGAACCACCAACTGCGCAGAATGAAACGGATACTCTATGCGCGCAAAAACACTGAACACCTTTCTCTCTCTCCCTCGCCTCTATCGAGTTTTGCCTTTCTGCGGCGCGCGAAAAAAAAAAGAATCGACAATGAATAGCTCGCCTACGATGGCTTTGGGTTCAGGCGGGCAGCAGTCTCGACGCCGCCGCCGGATAGACACTGAATATCACAGAAGAGTGGAGTATATGCGGCTCATGAAACCAAATGGGCCAGCAGGGTAACGCAGGCGTAAGATGAACGTTGCCAATGGCGCAGCATCGAGCCTCTTTGGATGAGGATCCTAAAGATGCGGAACAGGGAGGGCGATGCAATAGTACAGTGCGTAGCGTGTTGGTGCTGCTGTGAACCCAGTGAAGAGAGCGCTAACGATATCATGCACATGGGCTAGCCATCATCTAATACTAACCTGTAAAATCAGCAATTAACGAATAGGGTCGGTACTGAAACAGGAAATACGGGGTCCTAATAGCAGAAGGAAACGCGGATGAAAGTAGAAAGGCAAGTGGAACGCGCAAATTTGGAACGGCGATCGTAGCAACAGTTGCAGCTAATGTGGGGTGCCAAGACGAAATACGTGTACATCGTTATTAAACAGCCTTGCTAATTCTCGCTTTAAAAATCAATAAATCAGTAAAAGTCTGCCTAGAAAAAGACACTGTCGAATTCGAACAGATTCTGATTTCGCCTAATACTCGCCCGCATTTTCGATTATCCGGTAGAGTAGTAGGTCTGTAGTCTAGCCTGTTAAAACTTGATCCGTCTCGGGCAATTGGTAGAATTGAGGTGTGCCTTTCACTTAGTACTTATGCCAAGTTAGCTTGCAAAATGTCTAACTTAAAATCTCCGGGAATTATATTATATAACAACTATTGGAGCAGTATACTACCCGGTCCTTTCCTCTATTACTTGTAAGTTTATCAAATTCCGATACCACTGCACATAGTTCTACTGAGAAGTTATTATATCAGAACCTAAAGATCCTTTTTGTATAACCTCTACTGCAAATACAATATCATGCAACGCTATCGACTTATATTAGGATAAACGTTGGTAGTATGTAACGATATAATAGGATCCTTCTAGATGTTTTTAAATACTCGATTGGGTGATAGGTGCCCTTATTTCTCAAATGCTATCTTCTAGTCGTTGTTACTGATATATCGTTTAGAAGTGCTCGTTTTACATCCTTACCTTATTCTGAGTGCAGTGTGAACTTGAAAACACTGTGTTATTATCACACAGATGTTTCAACTGGAAAAATGTATCTTTAATACGCTCCAGATTATGATTTTCGTCGAAGTTAGACGCTGCCAAAACAACTTGATATATTTGCTTTGTCTATAGTTAGGGTGGTATCGCTAAATGTACTGTTCATGTACGACGTGCCAAGTTTAAGAACGGTATCCGGAAGTTAGGAGATTTCCCGCCACTTTGGCCAGCTGTATGAGTTTAATAACGACCATCTGAAGGAAGTCTGCCGATAAACAACTCAAGAATGGATCGAAAAGATGGATTGCAACCACAAGACCATCACAAATTACTTTAAGTTCCTCAGGTTTACACAGAAATTTCGAACCTTGGTACCTTATGAACTCTCTGAATCCAAAAGGTATTACGGCTTAACATAGTATTCGATATTTCGCCCGCATTAACCGATATAACCGAGAGTTTGACCGAATCTTCATCTAAAAGAGATTACGATTTACGTTTGGTGGGATTTTAGGGGTTTGATTTTTTTAGGGAGTTGCTTCCTACTAACCAGACTGTTAATAGGTTTAGTGCATCGAGTCAACCAGGCTATTTAACAGAAAGGACTCGGCAGACGAGATTCAGTTATCTTACTTTATGAGAACTCATGGCCATATGGGGCAAACATCATCAAAGCTGCCTTCTGAGAGATTCATCGAACCCTATGCTGACGGATTTCCATTTTTTTCTTTACTGGACAATCGTTTTCGTGGCCTTACGTCCAAGATGGATCAACAACTCAAAATACGGCTGCAAGACCCACCTCGCCGCCTGCTGGCGAGACGGCATATATCATTCGGTTGAAGGATAGAAACAAATCTGTTCTGTAGGAGGTCGTGGAAACTAAGCTAATGTATTAATACACGATCAACATCTTTTAGAAGAACTCAAACAACTACATTAAACAAAAAAAGTCTGGATAGTTGAATTTAGATTTATGTCAGATTACCTCTAAACGTTTGTTTCAATACTTCCATTTGGCTATAGCTAGCTCGTGGTACTTCTGTTGATTTACGGTTTCATTTCATTAAGCCTTAATGTTCGTACCATACCGCAGTAGTCCAGAGGCCGGCATTTGTTACGGCTTCGCAAGGCAAAGGACTGTTTCGATAATTAAATTTGTTTGTTTTTCTACGAATGAGTAGCTTTGAAAAGTCAGGCGGGGCTTTTATTTTCAATTTAGAAGCTGACTGAGACGTGTTTTGCATTGCTAAAAGTCACCAGTCCATCAAAGCGATGACGAACTTCAAATGTTGGCGCTTTCTCCATTGGTTCCATCTGCTTTATGGAATAATTCCCAGAGGGCGCTGACATCATCGGCTCGCTATTTTGCAAAGGAGAATTTTTTGCTCAGCCTGGAAAGATTCCTGTTAGAAAAAAGGAGACCGATGGTTAGCTGATGAATAAAAAAGCTACTCGAACTCCTCCTCTGAAAGATGACCGGACCAATATTGAATAAGCGGTAAGGCGGATCGAATTGGACATCTGCACTTGGCTCCCTTTTTGCACATACGATGAGTTGGACTAAATTTCGTTGTTTTTTTCGATATAGAAACCTGCAGATTTGGGCCATGCGGCGAAAATGTTTCTGCTGCCAAGAGAAATGTTCAAACGCTCCCATAGCATTGTGATCATTATTGACAGTGAGACAACGTCCAACTGTTTTTCGGTTGGCGAGATAACACGGCAGCGAGTAGTATAATCATAATAGGAGTAACTTGGAACGAGTTGTTTGAGGCTTCGAACTATGGATGGGAGGGTAGGGGGGCAACGTAGTAAGTATGTGGACAAAACTAAGTTAAAGTAAATAAAAGCTAAGGCTGTTTCGTAGTCAATACAATGTATCGAGGTTTCTATTCCTGTTTTAATGTGCCTATGTTTTCTTTCAAATAACCTGTCTTTTCCGTGAGTAGTAGGAGTCCATCCAAACTGCATGAACTCTGCTACAAAAAAGTACAACATTTCATTCGAAATTCGGAAAGCACCTTCGAACGTTTCTCCTTCTAGTTTCTAATAAATCCCTCGCTTTTTCCTTCTCAGCAAACTTTCATGTTATTAATATTTATGAAAAAGAAACAGTGCAATAGGAATTTCTTTGGAAACTTATCTAAAATATCGTTGTTGCTACAACAGTGTATAATACACACATAACCTACGCGATTGATGAACCAATATATCGTCATAAAGAAGACTTGATTTGGCCTTCCTACGATTTATGACCATCTAACAAACCGGGGGCAATACGTCGATATATATATATATATATATATATATATATAGATAAAGGAAATAACTTGATTAATCAAAAGCAGCAAGACTCCGAGCCTAGGAGATTCAAAGCAAATAACCGCTACAATGGACCTAAATGGTTATGTATTTTGCAGATATTTAAATGTATTATTATAGCAATAAATTCAGGATGAAACATAAGTTTCATTCCGTTTAATGCTATTAGGATGCTTCGGACCTAACCGATATAAATGGATATACTAAGTGAGCGTTGTTAGGAAATGGAACATAAGAAGACTGACATGATACAGCAGCGATATATCATACCTATACGATTAATATTAATAAGAATTGAATATGTACACGCAGATGGACTAGGTCAAAAATTTCAACCTGCGAAAATGATCAAGGTTCAATAGACAACTATTGTCAATGTCTTTGAGCAATACACGTTATATGTACATCTTCTCACTGAAATTTCCGTCAGTTAGCTTCCGATCTGAACATCGAACTTCGCTGTGGTAAAATGATTTGTCGCTTTGTAGAGGATCGGAACGGTTCGTATCCAATGTATCCCTATTACAGTCATTCTGAGATTTATGCGGCTACAATCTGTCTTAGCAAACGCCGAATTGTTTTTTGATTCATCCCTACATGAGCACTCACAGTTTGCAAAATCCCTTCTGGCTACAGGATAACTTAGCGAACGGGGCTCCGTGTTCGTTAATGCCCTTTAAAAGTTAGATTAAACATAACCAAGCAGTACCAAACGTTACCTATGCATATATAAAGGAAAATATTACATTCAGCTAAGTCTGCTTTATTGAAAGCCCTTACTATAGATCGTTTACATTCCCCTTTGTATATTGTATGTCCCTGTCTATGCTTCTTAACCTCTCACTTATCGGAAGTAACTTTATTCGCGGATGACTATACGCAAAACGACATGAGCTGCCGTGGCTGGCAGTCGAGTAGTCGCGCAAACTGTAAATTCTCAAACTATCGAATGTAACGGCTACGATATCACAGGACAAACAAACAGTGGCTTTCTTCAGTAATTCCTTACTGTATCAGCGTTCATTTGATAATTTTCTATATTGCCTACGCTATTGCATCGTAACGAAAACGAAACAGGGGTGCCACTACCTTCAGCACGTAGCCTATCTGTACAATCCGTTTCATGCAATGATCGTTTACGCACGCTGTTGTAGACCACACAGTCTGAGGTGGTTTGCGGAGGGACGACCTCAATCAGACATCGCGCGATGGGTAAGTCCGCAGTTTAAAATCCGACAGGCTTTTCTGCTTGTGATGCTTGAAGCTCGTTTACCTAGCCGGATATCGAATAAACGATTAGGTTGACCTCACGGCGTTCCAGCTCTATGCCGACGGCTGGCGCGATGTCGTCATCGTTCGCAATGTAGTTGCCCTGGCCTGTTATTCAAGTCGCTGTGCTCGCGCGTAACGCCGCCGACGATG